CACCATACACAAAAATAAACTCAAAATGGATAAAGGACTTAAACATAAGATGGGAAACCATAAAAATACTAGAGGAATCCACAACCAGCAAAATCTTAGACATATGTCGAAGCAATTTCTTCACTGATACTGCTCCTAGGGCAATGGAAACTAGGAAAAATAAACAAATGGGACTATATCAAAATAAAAAGCTTTTGCACTACAAAACAACAAGAAAGCCCACTGCATGGGAAAACATATTTGCCAATGTTATCACCAATAAGAGTTTGTTTTTTTATAATTTTTTTGGATCTGTTTTTGTTCACCAGTTTATGTTGTTCATTATATTCCATAAATGAGTGAGATCATGTGGTATTTATCTTTCTCTGACTGGCTTATTTCACTTAGCATAATACTTTCCAGTTCCATCCATGCTGTTGCAAATGGTAAGAATTTTTTTTTTTTTACCAAATTGCAGTATTCCATTGTGTAGATGTACCACAGTTTTTTAATCCTCTCCTCCAACATTTACAAAGAACTCATACAACTTAACAAAAGGAAGATAAACAACCCAATCAAAAAATGGGCAAGGGACCTAAATAGATACTTTTCGAAAGAAGACAGAAGGAAGGCCAAGAGACATATGAAAATATGCTCAAAGTCACTAATCATCCGAGAGATGAATCCATTTTAAAATTAGTTATTTCTAAATACCAAATATTGGGATTTAATCATTATAACATTTCATTTAAGTGTAACGTTTCATTTAAGTGTACAAATGAGTAGAAAAAATTCTAAACCACTTCTTTCCAAAGTACAATGAAAGCTTGCATGTAATTTAAAATTGTCTCTTCTAAAAGGAGAGAATATTCTGGAAACCCAAGACCCTTTACCATCAATTTGCTTTCTTGTCTGAATGTAGAGTGAAGGTGTTCAGAATTGAATCCAGGATTCCCACACTTGCTTTTGGCCTCATATCAGCTGCTGTTTTACCCAACTCTGTATTTTCCTTGCCTATCCCAACAAAGCTGTTGGCCAGTTGGTCTTGAGTAGAAAGAAGGTGGGAATGAATCTGCAGGATCCTGTCAAGATTAGGCAAAGATAAACTTTGTGTCACTCTTCTTTGCACTATGTATTGGTCTATACAATATTTGCTAAGGTTTTGAGGAACATAGATTCTCCTTAATTTTTTACTAGTCAAGCTTATCAGTCAATCTGAGAGCCATGAAACCTAAAAAGCAAGCCCAGTGTTGCAAATTGTTTGTGTTTATATTGTAGCTCTTATCTGCCCAGAGCCTATAAGTTTTTTTTCCTCTGAGTTTTATCTGCTTTTTATAGAAATTCTTTTACCTTACATCACTGGCTTATTGAAGTGACTGGCCTTGGTGAATTGTTTACAGCAGTTAGACAAAATAGTCTGGAAAATAATTCTTCATGGGGTCTATATGACCCCACCCAGAGCCAACAGATGGTGGTCAATGGATGGTAGGCATTGAACACAGAAAGAAGAGAATGAATTTGTTTCCCTGCCTTAGAAAATAAGACACGTTTGAATGACAGCAGACATTGAAATGTCCATTCACAGCCAGCCAATTAACTTACAAAATAGAGGAACATTCTCTGCTGCAACATCTATTAAGTCAATCCTTAATTGTTATTTGAAAGTAAGATTTTTGGAGAACCCAATTCTACCCATTACTCTTCATTAGACTTCTTGTTGGTTGTAGACAAAATTCCATATTTGAAAAAGAACAAAAGATCTGCACAAAAGTTCAATTAACTTTACTGGAACAGTTATTTATTGTCATTTTCCAAGAATATTTATATTCACTTCTTCAGCACAGAATAATAGTCTTTCATTTATACAGGATGGAGCAAAAGTATGTTTACAGTTGTGAGTATGTGAAACAGTTTATTCTTGTATTACTAGTATTTATTAATTACTGCATTATTTTCCACATGAACAACTGTAAATCTACAAAGGAAATGTAAGGGAATTGGACAACCAGCCTGGTTATTTTATTTTATTTTATTTTTAAAGACAATACTTATCACCAAATAATATTAAGTCAGGATTTAGCATGGAAGTATCCCAAATATCTTTTCTGGAAGTGCACAGTGGAAGCAAAATCCCCTTCATTGAGTAAGAGTTATGGAGTTGCTAAATGGAGAATTATTTTGTCTGCACAGGATGATAGAAGAAAGATAAAGTAGTGATATTTCATAAATAGTTAATTGGATGTCAGAACACTGTTGAATACTTTCTATGAACAACAGAGTTGTATAGTATGTAATCCATCATATGTAAAGGTGATGCAAGTCTAAATATAAAAAAGCTAAAACTAATGGCCATCTGCAATTGTTTTGAGGCAACCAAGATAAGCTGTGGCTGCTAGCAATGGGCTTTTGATGTCTGTCATGTATTGAACTAATACCCTTAGAGCAAGGCCTATTTTCTTATGTACATATAAAATAAAAGGATTGTGATAATATGAGGGATCCAGTGTAGATGGCTATTGAGGGAATATTTTGAGAGTATGAAGGTATTTTCAATTTGTGCATTACATGAGAGTGGCTCTAAGATATTTGATATAGTTAAATGTAGGAACACTATTACAGAAAAGTTTTATATCCATTGTCTTCAATACCAAGTTAATTCTATATTTCCCCTTACTTGTTTTTTAGTAATTGTTTTGGGTAATTTTGGATACTCTGTAACATTTCTTTATACAATGTTTTTCTTTAGCCAATAGATTATGGCTTATTTTCAAAGGGTAAGGCTGTAACTTATTAGCTGGCTTTAAATGTGGTTGGCAATGTAAGCAGTCATTGGTCAATTGGCATGAGTTTAAAAGTGGTTCTGGTATCAGTAGAGGAGTGGATAAAAAAGTTGTGGTACATTTACACCATGGAATACTATGCAGCTGTAAAAAAGAAGAATATCTTACCCTTTGAGAGAGCATGGAGGGAATGTGGAGAGTATTATGCTAAGTGAAATAAACTGGTCAGAGAAAGACAAGTATCACATGATCTCACTCATATGTGGAATCTAATGAACAAAATAAACTGATGAACCAAACAGATCCAGAGACATAGAAGCATGGAAGCATGAGACTGTTGAATCTCAGAGGAAAGGTGGTGGTGGGTGGGTGGGAAAAGATCAACCAAAGAACTTATATACATATATACATAACTCATAGACACAGATAAGCATGTGATGAAAGCTTGGGGTAGAGGATGGGGAGGGCTAGAAGGGGTCAATAGGGAAAGAAAGGGGACATATGTAATACTTTCAACAATAAAGATAAAAATATGTGAATGGAGATTAAATGTAAACATAGCCTAGGCTAAATAAAATACAAAAAGGATTTCTTAAACAAATGAATAAAAGTGGTTCTAGTATTTTCAAAGAACAGTTTTTTTCCTGGAAGAATACAATATTTTTATTTATTCTTAGGGCTACAAGTAGAAAAAATAAAATTCGAGGAAGCAGAATGAGGTGCAAAAGATGGGATAAGCATGGCTCTGTCAGAACTCAGGTGTGATTATTAGAGCAGATGTATTTTTCGAAGGAAAGAGCTCCTCTTAGCTCAGAATATCAGTGTGCTGCATAAGAGCACCAGAAACAATTCCCTAATCACTGTCTCAGGATCCATAAACAGTAAATTTCTTGTTTTTCTTTAGTATCTGGTGAACTAGAAGCTCCCCAAATGGGTAGAGAAGAAGAATCTGAAGAGCTTAACTCTATCCCACTACCCAGTGATGGACAAGGTAAGCAGAGTTCTGATAAAGAGAAAAAGACAAGAGAAGAAAAAAGGAAGACTTAAAGGAAGAGTCAGATGTAGAGAGGATTAATGTTATATTTCAGAGGAAGAAGTAGCAAAACAGAAATTCACAAGGGTACCAAATATAGAATCACTGGGGCATAGGAAAAGAGTCTTCATAACTTACAATTTTGTTCCAGGAGCAGAGCTGCCAACACGTGGAAATGAGAGGTGTTCCTGTGTTATGTGCTTCATAAATTATGATTTGGGCCCAGAATCAGAGCTACCAGCACATAAAAGTAGTAAGTGTTCCTGCATTGTGCGTCTCTCAAAATATGTGCCAGGAGGCCCAGAAGCAAGGGCTGAAGGTAGCCAAAGTAAGGCACTACACAAGGGTCATGGCGTGAGGGTGAATCCATAGTTACCCAGTACCCCAGGTAGAGTGGAGCAGGTGGTCCAGTCCATCCAACTCCCCTGTTCTCTGCATTTTTTTCTCGACCTGACCCTTTAGGAAAAAGCAAGGAGGCAAGAGATAATTATAATATCATATTTAACAGGATGGGTCCTATTGACTATTATGGATGATATAGTAGAAATACACTCTTAAAATGGCAATATATAGTTTGCTACATTGGTATATTAGTAATAATACCTTGAATTTATGGAGCTATTTTCACTGCTGTCACACCCAATATTCTATGGAACCCATAAAAACAAGGTGTACTTCTGCCAGTAGATAATAGTGTCATTTTTTCCACAACCTTAGAAAGACCTCTAAGACAGCTGATCCTGCCACTTAATTGTCAGGAAAGAAGACTTCAGATCAACTTCAATTAACCCAGCACATATTTTTGTTGGATGTTCTCTGCATGTCACCAATTTATACATTTTTTTTCCTACAAACATTTGCACATAAGATGTTATTTGGTTTTCACAAAAATCTTAAGACCTAGATAGGATAGGACACCTGTTCTTATCCGTGAATGAATTGAAGTTCGTAGGTATTGAAGAGTTTTTTAAGAGTCCCATTGAGTAAAAAAAGAAGGAAACTCCCAGGCCCATCCAGGACTCCTACTTTTCAATTCAGGAGATATTTAGTTCCTTTAGAAAGAAGAGAAAAATGATAATCCAAACAACTTTATAAACTCAAGCCTTCAGTAGTATGGATCATCATAGGATTTGATAACTTTTAGCTATTAACATCTGTTTTCTTATATCAACCTCTTTTTTCAGATACTGTGGATCTTGGAAACAACTCTACTTTGGGACAACTCAAGAGGAAAAGAAGTAAGAGTGCATAAGATTTTACTAGATTTTGATGTTAAATTGAGGTTATTAATGCCAGAGTTTCAATTACCATAATAGTAAGTGATAATAATATGATGATCCCTTAAATATGTGCATTTCCTAATCTTTGGAACCTCTAATGTGTTTTCTTCCATGGCAAAAAGGATTTTACAGATATAACAAAACCAGAGACCTTGAAAGGGGAGTTTATGTTAGATATCTGTGTGCCACCAGTATAATCAGTTGGCCTTAAAAATTGGAGAACAGAGGGAGAAGGAGGAGTAACTCTGGAAGATATAAAGAACTACATTATTGCTGGCTCTGAAGATGGAGGAAATGAAAAAGATATGGGTGACTTGTAGAAGCTAAAAAGTCACAGAAATAGCTTTTCCTTCACAGCCTCGTGAAAGGAATAAAGGCCTATGTTTTAGCCCAGAGAGACCCTTATCAGACTTCTAACCAACATATCTGTAAGATAATAAGTTTGCATTGTTTTAAGCCACTAAATTTGTATTCATTTGTTATGGCAGCTATAGAAGAGCAATACAGATTTTGGTTATTGGAAGTGGGGTGCAGCTATAACACATCTCTGAAAAGCCAATTTTAGAATTGGCTTAGGAATTGGGCAGTGGGAAGAATTTTAAGTAGAATGATAGAGAATGTCTTCATGGCCTGTAGCAGTTTGTTAGTAGAAATGTGGATGCCAAAGACAGAAATCATGGCAGAAAGCTTAGCAAAGTTTAGTCTGTAGACATGTGGAAAGTAGGCCTTTCTGTGTATATATGAGGAAATTTCTAAACCAAATGATGAAGGTGAAACTGGTTTCATTTCACAGCTTAAAGTAAAATGGCAGAGGAAAGAAATAAATAGAGGGAAGAACAGCTAAACAAAAGAAATCAGGACTTGATGATTGGAAAATTCTCAGCCTATTCAGGTTGCAAAAGATGCTAAGATTAGGGGAGCCACTGTCAGGAGAGTGTGCTCTGAAGAATGAATAAGAATCTGGCCTAATGAATTTTTGCATATGCCTCAGAAGTAGCAAAAGGCCAGGGTATTCAGTCACATAAAAGGTGCTTTGAAGAGATTAAGTATGTGACTCACATTAGAAGTAAAACACAGATATATAATTATATAGGAAAGATCTGTGTAGGAGCCTCTTTTTAATGGAGTAAAGCCCTATGATATACATGAGAGATTCTTAAGAATTTTATACCAACAGAAACAGAACTCTCCATGTCTAATCCCTGGAACCTATAATCTGTTTCTTTACATGGAGAGAGTTTGAGGATGTGATTAGGGATCATAAAATGGGGAGATTATTCTGGATTATTTAGGTGGCCCCAGTACATTCACAGGCGTCCTTAAAATCAGAAAACGTTTCCAGCGGTGGAGAGAAGGATGTGTACCCATGAAATAATCAGAGATTCAATGCAGTTGGTTTTAAAGATGCAGACAATGAACCAAGAAATGTGAGCAGTTTCAGGAGCTAGAAAAGATAAAGATTATCCCCGATAGCCTCCAGGAAGGAACAAAGCCTGTGGACACCTTGATTTAGCTCAGTGAGTTGTGTCAGTTTCTGACTCCAGCACCAATAGACAATTAATATGGTTAGATCACATATTTTAAAATAGCAATTTATATTTTTCATTATAACATAATTTGGCTGGTTTTAAAACTATTTTATTGAAAAGTTTATTTTTACTCAGAGTAATTTTTTTCTCAGCATAGTATTTTTGAGTTTTATCCACTTTGTTGAATCTATCAGTGCTTTTTTTCTTTTTTATTGTAAAGTAGTGCACATTGTATGAAAATACTCAATTTTGTGTATATATTCTTCTATTGATGGACATCACAAGTGTGTCTGTTTTTGACTAATATGAGAAGGCTGCAATGTACATTCTTGTAGAAGTCTTTCTGTGGCTCCATGCCTGTACATCTCTTGCATAATTTCCTAGGAATGAAATTGCTGGGATATGGGATAAATGCAAACCCATGTAGGGGTTATGTAGCACATAGAGGCTGTGCCGAACTGAAGAATAAAATGCTTCAGAAACTGTTCTTATCTATCAAAAACCCCCAGTCTTAGAAGGGGTTTAATAAACCTGTTGGTAAACCTGCTCAAACCTTACCCCTGAAGGAACATTATCTTATTAGCTGGAACTTAAGCAAATTTCGTCTGAGGTGAGGAGAGAGACTTCACTATCCTGGAATACTTCTAGGGAGGGAGATAGTCTCTGGTTTTATACTGGTCAGGAAACAAATCTGCCCTCTGACCTGGAGGGCTACTTATCTCTGCTTTCCAAGGCAGTTTTTGAAACATCCTTGAAAAGATATGCTGAGGCATGTAGAAATGCCATGGAGAATTGCCTTTGCATGTATCTGTTCAGTTTTCCCAACATCATTTATTGAGGAGACTGCCTTTTCCCCACTGTATAGTCTTTCCTCCTTTGTCATAGATTAATTGACCATATAAGTGTGGGTTTATTTCTACCTAAGCAATTTACAGATTCAGTGCAATCCCTATCAAAATGGCATATTTCATAGATCTAGAACAAATAATCTTAAAATTTATATAAAACCAGAAAAGACCCTGAATAGCCAAAGCAATCTTGAGAAAAAGAAAATGAAGTTGCAGATATAATGTTCCCTGATTTCAAACTATACTACAAAGTTATGGTAATCAATACAGCATGACACTAGCATAAAAGCAGACACATAGATCCGTGGGACAGCAGAGAAATTTCAGAAATAAACCCATGCTTACATGTGATTTATTTTTAATTGTCAAATAAAGGTAATATCCTACAGTCTCTCAAGTCCACACACAGTAACTCCATAAACAACCTCATGCTGCCACACTGGTAATTAAGAATTTTGCTTCATTTTTGTGGATCAAAGTTTGAAAAAAATATTTGAACACTACTGACCTACGAGGTTTTGAGAATTATATTCACGGTTCTGCATAATTAACTTTGTTCTCTTCTTTTTTGAAGGAAAAAAGAAAGGGTATTCCTGGACAAGAATTAAAAGAAAATGGCCGAGAAGCATAAATCGAAAAGGTAAGTGGGCAAAGTGAGGTAGTCACACCTTTTGAGTTTACTAAGGCACTGCTTATTGTATCCTTGTATCCTGCAATCTCCTGAGGGCCATGATAGTTTCCCAGCTACTGTATCAGGTAGAATATAGGCTAAGACACTGTAACAAAGAGGTCTAAAAATTCAGTGACTTCAACAAAATAGTTTATTTCTGATACATGTATGTAATCCACCAGAACTAAATGATCTGGGGCTAATAGGGAGACACTGTCATCCTCACTTTGTGGTTTCTTTACTGGGTCAAGACATTTTTATTAATTTAGAAAGATGTTCCAAAGAAGGCTGAATGATGAAAGCAGACTGTATGTATGTGTATGTATACATACTATAAAAATATATACATATAAGCATGTATCTATGCCAATATGTTTTATATATGTATAAATGCTTATTTATATTAGTACATATTATCAATCTCTATAGAGAAACATAGATATAGATCTATAGAAAAGTCAATGAAAGTTCATCCATAAAATGCAGCAGTTTTATTTGGTCATTAGTGATATTTATATTTTTATTTGTGTTTTTAAAATGTATGTGTGCATATTAATAATAGTAAACACATTCAACTTTTGTAATACAAAAGTATTATTTCATTAGTAACATGTGAAAAGAGAAAAGCCATAGCTGCAGATGTTCACTTCCACATGGCAGTAACTACAGAAATGCCCAAAGGACCAAAGAGAAGTGAACAGACATAGTCTGTTGCCATATAAAGGGTATATATAACCCACAAATTATTTAGCTGCTCTTCTCCTGTTACACAGTCACTGGTTGCATATCGCAGGTGGCCCAGAGTAGTGGTCAAAAGTCCATGTCCTCTGTTTTGACTGTCTGGGCTTGTGCCAGTCACTTGATGACTTTTGCTTCAGTTTCCTCATCTGTAAATCAAGAGAGTGAATTAGGCCAACCATCATTCTCAGTCCATCCTAGTTCTAATAGTCTGCCTGTCTTAAAATTGGAACATGGTATCCATGTTCCCATCAAGGCTCTAAAACCTTGGCTGAAAGGGTAGGATTAACTACACATCCTGAGTTAGTTCATTTGAAAAACTTTCATTCTTTTGTGTAATCAGGTCTCTAGCCCCCAACCCCCATACAATTTTCAGATTATTATAGAGTTTCCTGAGCTCCTTTTTCATCTTTGGAGAAAGTTGATGTGAGGAAAAAATAAGGCAAAGCAGATAACACATATACTAGTAGACACCATCTTCATTAAATTATCCCATTATTATCCTCTCTGCTCACTGAGTCAGAGCTCAAACAGAGAGATACAAATACAGTCTCTCACTTTGTCTTTAGCTACCTAAGTGCAACTGTATGTCTCATTGTAAGAATGTAAAGAATGTAAGAATCAGGAGGGCTGACTGGATTGGGAGTTATGACAGTTTATTGAAGCCCTATCTTTCTGCTAAGGCATTCTGATTGTGTGGGGTTTGAAGGTAGAAGTGGACACTCTGTGGTTATGTACTAAAAATGCCACTTGGAAGACAGACTTTGACTCCAGAAATCTGTTGAATAAAGTTTCTTAAGTACCCCTATGTGTTTCTAGAAACAGCCTCAACATAGGAAGAGGGGTACATGTGCAATTGGAAATGATAGAGAAAGAAGGAATCTTCTGTTTCAGGGTCAAGATGGCACACAGATGAAAGTGTGAATTTTTCCTCTGAAATACTTCCTGTGACCTGTGGTGAGGTGAAAGGGATGTTACATAAGAAGAAATTGAAACAAGGTGGGTTTCACGGTCTCATTTACAGCTCTGATGTGAAGGAATGACAAGAAGTCATAGAATTACCCATCATTCAAGGAATTGAGCACCCACTGTGGCTTGAGAGAAGGAGGAAGGGATCCCAAAGATGATATTTTCACACTTTAAGAAACCATAGATTTTGGATAGTCACTTCCACATGGCAGTGACTACAGAAATGACCAAAGGACCAAAAAAAAAGTGAATCTAATTTAATAAAAGAGAAACACGCAAATTGACCGTACCTTCGCTATGCCCCAAGCCATGCCCACCAGCCAATCAGAGCGACTATATGCAAATTAACCCAACCAAGATGGC